CCCGACACTTGAGCGACCGACATTTGAGCTGTTTGTTCTCATCCAACAGCAAATCTTGTTTAGCCAATAATTGTTGCAATAAGAACATAATTTCGTTTGGCTTTTCGATGACTACTTGTCCGTGTCTATTCCCATCTTCATCATCCATTTCTAAGTGTTTTTGTTGTTCAACGTAGGTTGGGGACGGTTCTCGTCTGGAGTTGCGATCAGAATCAGTTAACGATAAAAAAATCAGCAACTATATATGGGTTTATGAACAATGCATTAGATATGGTGATGTTCAAGTTAAAGGAAAATCCATGATTGAAAAGAAAGGAAAGGAACAGAATAGAGAAAGTTACATATCGGGAGAATCTCAGAACATAGAGTATAACGCACAAACGTATATATATGTATTTTATAAGAAGAATAGGAGAAGTGATGATATGATCTAACCGAAGGTGAAGATCATAACACTTCTGATCGCTTGCGCGACCGACATTTGATCGCCCGACGCTTGAGCGAGCCCGGCTCAAATGTCGTGTCGGTCGCTCAAATGTCGGCGTGGCTCAAGTGTCGCGCGCTCAAATGTCGGACGCTCAAATGTCGTTCGCTCAAGTGTCGGGCGCTCAAGTGATCAGAAGTGTTATGATCTTAACATCGGTTAGATCATATCATCACTTCGCCACCCCGACATTTGAGCGCCCGACACTTGAGCCACCCCGACATTTGAGCGACCGACATTTGAGCCGGGGTCGATCAATCGTCGGTCGCTCAAGTGATCAGAAGTGTTATGATCTTCACCTTCGGTTAGATCATATCATCACTTCTTATAAAATACATATATATACGTTTGTGCGTTATTCTCTATGTCCTGAGATTTTCCCCATATGTAACTTTCTCTATTCTGTTTCTTTCCTTTCTTTTCAATCATGGATTTTCGCCCTATTCTGTCGGGGGAATGTCCTTTAACTCCGACATTACCATACCTAATGCATTGTTCATAAACCGATATATAGTTGCTGATTTTTTTATCGTTAACTGATTCTGACCGCAACACCAGACGAGAACCGTCCCCAACCTACGTTGAACAACAAAAACACTTAGAAATGGATTATCAAGATGGGAATAGACAAGGACAAGTAGTCATCCAAAAGCCAAACGAAATTATGTTCTTATTGCAACAATTATTGGCTAAACAAGATTTGCTGTTGGATGAGAACAAACAGCTCAAATGTCGGTCGCTCAAGTGTCGGGTGCTCAA